TGCATCCCGGGGATTGCCGGTGCCACTCCCTATCCAGAAAATAGTAAACCTTCCACTTTCTTTCACTGTGGTTAGTTATAAACTTCCACAGACACACACACACACATACGGGATTCCTTCACCCGTGCCCACGACAAGTTGATTGGCAGAGATAACTGTGCATCACTTGAGCTTCTCAACTTCTTAAATGCTTGAAGTAAGCAACTTTGATGTCAATGTCTTTGTGCTCTGCAAGATGCAAAAGACTGGGAAAGGAACAAAGACTCAACTCTCCCCTTAATATCTTCTCACATTTGCTAAAGACAATATAAACCCTCTGACCTGCTCCTGCCTGTGCCAGCTCCAGCACAGATAGGCCAGCCATGCTGGCAGGCATTGTGCCACAAACTCACACACCACCACCTTCCTTCAGAGCATTTTTGTGCCCATTCCCTGCCCCATCATCTTCAGCTCGTTACCAGCTTTGTAGTGATCAGTTCCCAGTGGGCCAGAAACTTGATTTTAAGTAAGCATGACTGCTTTGATTTAAGCTTTTTGTGGAGGCTGGTACTGAAACCTGATCTGTCACAACTGCAAAGTTTTGAAGAATAATATTGTACTGGAATAATAGTGAATAATTTATCACTGTTGAGGCATTTCGAATGCTGGTGTTTGGCATGGATTCCTCCCAGTAGGCAGACAACTCACACTGGCATTGCCCAGGGAACAGAAATACAACTCTTCCTTTCAGTTCAAAACGCAGAGGTGCGGGTGAGCCCGCAGGGGAGGAGAGATGTGGCTCCCAGCACTGCATTGCTGCCAGCAGCCAGAGCCACCTCATGTCCCAGGAGAAGCTCCAAAATGTGTGTGCTGCACACCCGGGAGGAAGGCTGGAGAAGAGGCAGGGCTTGCAGGAAGTTAATTCCAGAAGCCCACACATTATTTCTCTCCTGTATATGTAAAATTTCACAGCCCTTTGAGGAACATGACTCTCTCTGAATGAACATGTTATTAGTAAGGGCTCTCACAAAGTGTTGGACTGCACAAGCCCTGGTTGTTCAGAAAAGCAGGCTAAAGCCAGAGTTACACAGGTTTGCACCAGCTGAACA